AAACCTGCTGCCTATTAATTTCATTGGTTGAACCTTGGCTCCTGTTTTATGTGGAGGGGTAAATAACACTTCCCTATTCACTTTCTTCACACCAGTCATGATATTATAGACCTCTATCATACCGTCCCTTAGTTGTCTCTTTTCTAATCTGAACAGTTCCAGTCTTTTTAATCTCTCTTCATATGAGAGCTGTTCCAGGCCCCTCATCATTTTTTGTTGCCCTTCTCTGTACCTTTTCCTTTTCTGATACATCTTTTCTGAGATGCAGTGACCAGCACTTTATGCAGTATTCATGGTGTCGGTGTACCTTGGATTTACATAGTAGCGTTATGATATTTTTTGTCTTATGATCTATCCTTTTCCCAATGGTTCCTAACATTCTGTAAGCTTTGTTGATGGCGGCTACACACTGACCAAATGTTTTCAGAGAACTATTCACATTGACTCTAAGATATCTCCCTTCAGATAATAGTGAAGAACACAGTTTAAAAAAGCAGAAGGTGAAAGTTCCTCTTTTCTTTACTGATAAACAGAAATATTTGGTGCTTGTGATTCTAAGCAGAACATCCACTATCATCAGATGTCTTTCAAATGGAAGTTTGAGGTGAAGTGCCTTAGGCTTAAACACATCACCACAATCATTTATGCCAACATTTGTACTGTCAGGTTCTAAAACATGGGGGGTACTGGTTGTTACTGCATGCATAGGGCACTGGAAATGATATTTCTGATTCTCTGTCAAGTGAACAAAGACAGAGACTAAGCTAATGATCAGTTTAGTGCTGAAGCTCACCCTTTCCCTACTCTCGCTAGGAATGGCACATTCATGTTTAATAGATCTCTGCTTCTTAAATTGTAGGAAAGTATTTCTCTTTCCTGATGGCTTCCCTGAGTAATTACCAGAGGGAAGCACAAAACAGGGAGACATTTACTTTTTATTTCCCCATCCCCCAAAATACAGCAAGAGGTAGGTTCTAATTGTGACAATTTCAAGAAATACAACACTGTTAAGTGTCCGGCCTGGATCAAGGATTCTGGATGTTTTGCATTTTTAATGCAACATAATTTTTTGCTTCTGCAAGTATTTTCAATGATCATACCTCCCCTCACCTCCTTCCCACAGCATTTATTTATTGGTAATAAATCACTTATGAAGCACTATATATAAACATGGCACTGCACAGAGATAGGTCAGTGTCAAAGGTCTCTGTTCTGAGGGCCTAATAATGGAAAGGAACCAGCCAGGAAATACAAGACAGATTTATATAGAATAGTGCATGGTCATTAGAGCTTCAAAGTTTCCTGGGAAATATGTTTTTAATGGGTAGAAGGAAGGGGCTTGGTGTATGTGGGGAAGTCCCTGAGCTACATTGGGGTGTACCAGCTAAAGGTATGGCCCATTAACTCTATAGGGCTATTAACATCAGGTTCCGAGGTGTGATTTTGCAAATAGTCCTTGAACATTCATGAATGAATACCAACTTGAAGATGAGATGAGGGCCTGAAATGATTTATAACCTTTTTTGACATCCTCCTTCCCATCTTGAGTCAAACACTTATTTAAATACATTCACTGTAGCCAAAGCTGGATGTGAAGACATTGCACAGGTTCCAACCATTAAAAAAAAATGTGGCTACCCTCCTCCTTCTTGGTCTAGACTGCCATAAGCAGGCGCAAATTTCTCTGCTGGCTCCCTGCCAGTTTCAGATGTCATTTTAAATTCTTGCTCCCCATCTTCCAAGCAAATAAGGGATTAAGTCCCAGCTACACCAATTACAGGCTTTTCATCCATGAACCACCACAATGGCTGTGCTCCTCTAGAACAAGGCAGTTCACAAAGCTCAGGATGAAGCATGTGACGGCTAGAGACAAAGCATTCTTTGTCAAGTGGACCTTTCAGAGGAGATGAGGCAAATCCAGAGTCTGGCCATCTGTAGGAAATGCTGCAAGACCTTCCTCTTCAAAAAGACCATTCCTCCCTAGTGAGAATGACGCTTTCAGCACTGATTCCTCTTTCTACCCACACATCCCCTTTATGATGGAGCTCTATTGTCTTACATCCCCTGTTAAAAAAAAAAAAAAACACCCTGAAAGAAGGCAACTAACTAAAACAACAGCCAAAATCCCATCAACCTCAGGCAGTGATTTTAATCCTCAAAATGGAAAAGAGCCAGATACTCCATTACATTCACTGAGGATTTAGCTGTTGCTCTGTTTTCCTTGGAAGGCACTCAGATATCCTGAAGATGGGCAGCAGTATGAAACCCTAATGTCAGATATTTTGAATGTTGCATTGTGTTTATAGGAGCAGAGAATGTGATCTTCAAAAGCAACTCAAGGAGTTAGGCACCTAAGTCCCACTGAGAGTCAGTAGCAGCAGATTGAGAGCCTAACAGTTTAGGAACTTTTAGCAGTCACACCCAGAGATACTTTTGAAGTGAAATTAAGGTGCAAAGCCTAAGGTTTCCTTTTTGTATTGAACAGCAGCATCAGGCACAGAGTCCACAAGGCCTACAGTGAAGATAAAACACCAGCTTTCCAACCAAACCCCATGGCTAGAACAAATGGCAGCTCTGGGAAAGATTTTTACTACTACAAATGCACTGAGCTGGAAAAGAAATGATTTCTGGAGTCCTGGGGGCAGGATATGTGCAATTGTGTGTAGATAGATCTATGATACAGGATGTGTACCTATTATAACTGAAATGAACAAAGATACATAGACATCCTGTATCTATGGCTACTCCCCACTCCTCCTAGAATGGTGGTAACCCTCTTTTTTTATTGCAAACCTTCCTGGAGACTTGGAAGTGGGACACTATAATGTGGTACATTTTAAACCAATAGGATCTCCATTCAAGGGATTAAGGGTCTTTCTTTTAATTTACCCAAGGGGAAAAGGGTTTACTGTTAAACTTCCCTTAATGTAAAACTACTATTAAGAAAATTAAAGCTGTTAATGAGGTCTCTTAATCGCTTTCTGAAATAAGGCCCTCCTGGATTCTGGTTGCATGAAAAAAATCGAAACCCCCTCCCTGTTCATTATGCATCTGAGAGGTCTCATCCATTGATATGCACTAGGGAATTTTTCACTTATGCCAGCAGTGTCCACCTGGACCTACCAGTGTGTGTACACTAGAATTTACAGCCCTCTGGTGGAGATTAAAGCACCATGTAAACAAGCCCCAAAGTCTCATTTTCAAAAAATGCCTAAGTCTCATTGAAAGTCAATGGGACTTTGGGCTCCCAAGGTCCTAAAGTACTTTTGAAATAGAACTTAGACATTTTTGAAAATTGATCCCTAGATCTCCTTGGGGTCTCTTTGACTGTCATTCACTGTATGTTTATACAGCTCATGGTACAGTGGGATCTTGACCTAGTTAGCCTCTGGGCACTGCTACAATAAAAATGTTAAATAATAATAATAGCTGGAGCACTGAATTGATGCAGCAGGACAACTCCTCTCTTCTAATGTTCTAATTTAGCGCTTAAAAATTTCAGAGAAGGTTACATTGATTCTCACACCTTTTTATTTTCTTTAGAACAATAGTTAAAAAGGATGAGATGGTTATTCCCCTATGGGCAGAGCAAGGTGGGGAGCAGCAGCTGCACATCACTGTCTGGTGAAGAATAAAATCATGAGGATTCATGGATGAGTCCTGAAGGGCAGGATAGCCTGCTTAAAAGATAAAGCACATTTGATGCCATACAGAAACCTGCGGCAAATGAACAAAACAAGACAAGCAAGAGATGCTTGTACAGAAAAAAAGAGGATGGAACAAGGACTTTATGTACAGTGTCTCATGAAACACCACTTGTGACCAGTTATAACTTATTGCAACTTCACTCCCATTGTGCACATAGTGAGTGCAACAGTAAATGAATCACCCTGGAGAAAATGTCCTGGAAACCAAAGCTCAGAATTCTCTGAACTTAAAGGAACCAATGAAAAAGTAATTACTCAGTTGTTGCAAAACCAAGCTCAGGGCGACAATTATTTAAGCAGTACTGCCTGCTGGCCATGCCTCCAGCTACCAAACAAAACAAGGAACCTGCTTACCTGCTTTACTTTCACTGAGTATGAAAGGAGCAAATCAATCTGGCACAAGAATGTCTGGGGTTTTTTTAATCAAATAAAATAGCTGAAATATATTTTTAAGGATGGGTGAATTGGCTTGGAAATAATGAAAGCACCCCAGAATTTTTGCTCTTCACTAAAAACAAACCTGAACCAAATGTTTTGTAATGTTGGAAAAATCGTCAGTTAGTTCTCACTGTTCCCAGCTGCTATTCCCGATCTCCCTGACTTACTTGCTGTGACAGTTTTGCTTGGGTGGAGAAACTAGGGGGAGAAAATTAGTCCCATTCAATCTCTTCAAAAGGAGGTTGTGAAAACTATTTCCCTATCCCCGATCTTCAGTGGCAGCGATCCCTCAAGGTCAAGGATGATCTTTCACAGGTTTTATTTTTGTATGGGTCCTTTGGTGACTGAGGAGTCTGATCCTTGAACCGCAGGCTCATTGGCAGACATTGTGGATGGTGTTGGAAGTCAGGGTTGGGCCACGATTGCTGCGTGACGGCCATCCGTTCTTCCTTTTCCAGCATTTTTCTGCATCTAGGACAAGGGGATTTTACTCAATAGTGATCGTTCCTTCTCTGACAAGTCTTTGCCAGTTATCCCTATCCTGGGCTGCTGTCTCCCAGTGTCTGGTGTCAGTGCCCCAGTGCTTGATGTTTATCTTGAGGATGTCTATAAAGCATTTCTTTTGGCCTCCTCATTTCCTTTTTTCTTTGGTGAGCTGGGCATACAGCTGTTGTTTTGGTAAGCGTATATCAGGCATGCGCACACAGTACCCGCTCCACCTCAGCTGTGCTGGATAATCAGGGCCTCAACGCTGAAGCTGTCGGCCTCTGTGAGGACATTAGTGCGGCAATCCTCCCACCTTATGTCGAGGATCTTCCAAAGAACGTGCTGGTGCTCGACATCAGAGCAGACACTAGATTTTTAGTTTATAAAGCGATGGTAACCCCAACCCTCCTCTATGGCTGTGAGACTTGGGTCACCTATAGAAAACACCTACAAACCTGATCTTCAATGTGAAGTCAAATGGACCCTCTATCAAAATGCCTTCTCCTTTTCCTTTTTTTTTTTTTTTTAGGGGTAACCTACCTGGCCAGATGAATGCTCTCAGCACAGCAAGGCACCTCCATGCAAATATATACAAGTAATGAGGAAGATCCTGTTGCAAAGGAGGCTTGTGTTGGGAGAAAGCAGACCTGGTGGGGAGAGAATAGCCAGAAGGGCACCATTGGTTGGCATAATCTTTAGATAAGCAATTGGGTTTAGTATAGGTGAAGAATGTATGTGTCTACAGGGAGGTTGGGGGAAGATTAAATCTGTACCCCAACATAATTCCAGTAGAATAACAACTATAGCTCCTTTGTGCCACTTGTAAGAGGTGGTAGGTCCACCATTTCTATATAATCAAGGGACCGGAGGTCTCTTCCCTGGCTCACCCCCACCCTCCACACACACATTTGAAGATGGCAAGGATGCAGCTTCAACAACAAGCCTCACCCCTGACATCCCTATAAGCGAGCCATAATCATCCCGTGGGATTTTAAGAATTTCAGAGAGTTTTGCTTTGCTCTTCTCCTCGCTGAATGTTGGGGTCTGTCTCATTTGGCCAGTATCACGTTATAGGATGTTTTTGCTTCTGCGAGATAGGAGAATGATGGCTAATGGATAGTCAGTGTAAAGACAAGACGTGCACAGATTGGCTGTGCATACTACTGTGTCATCATGGATGGCAGAACTGAGTTCCACTCTTCCCTTCAGACATTTGTGAGCATTGCACAATTAATGCTTGATCGTTCTTTTAAACCTTTTCACTAAAGATTGAGAGAGCAGCTGACCTTTTGCTCCTGGCCCTGCGAAATGGGCTGCAAGTAGCTGCCTGAACTAGGAACAGCCCAAGGAAGCAATTGTGCCACCCAAAGTCAAGTCCTTCCCTGCTCTTCCCTTGCTTCTGGGAGGGAACAATCTATGACTGGCTCTGACTGATAGTAAACTCCAAACCCCTTCCTTCTGGCTGGTGCATTTGAGGGAGGAGCAGAACCTCTTGCCGCCACCCCCTTTCCTCCCACAACTTACCTAATCATGTGGGGGTGGCAGACCATCTGTAACAGCCTCCATCTTGCCCAACCACAGGGACTGAACTGGAGGCTTCTAGATTTAAAGGTGCGAATCTTTACAACTTCAGTCAAAGAGCCAGCCTGCTGTATGTGAGAGAGGAAACCAGTCATTGGGAGTTAGGCATCTAACCTGCTTAGGTGCTGTTGAAAATTTCACAAGGTGCCCGCCTGGGTCTTTGGGAGCCTAAATATCATTGAAAGTGTGGCCCAAAATGACTACACCCGTGCAGCCCCTGCTATCCCCCCATGACTGCGGTGAGACAGAGAGAGGCATTACAGGGAGGTGGGGTAGCCTTATGACTCCTCATCTTCCACTGATGTGGCCTTTAAATACAAAACCACCATCCCCTTATTCTAGCTCAGGGGTGGCCAAGCTGAGCCTGAGAAGGAGCTAGAATTTACCAATGTACGTTGCCAAAGAGCCTCAGTAATACGTCAGCAGCCCCCCCGCCCCCCCATCAGCTCCTCCCTGCACCTCCTGATCAGCTGTTTCGCGTCGTGCAGGAGGCTTGGGGGGTGGGGGGAGCGAGGGCACTGCAGTCTCAGGGGAGGGTGCAGGAAGGGGTGGAGTGGGGGCAGGGCCTGTGACAGAGCCAGGGGTTGAGCAGTGAGCACACCCAGGCACATTGGAAAGTTGGTGCTTGTAGCTCCAGCCCCGGAGTCGGTGCCTAGACAAGGAGCCGCATATTAACTTCTGAAGAGCCGCATTTGGCTCTGGAGCCACAGGTTGGCCACCCGTATTCTAGCTGCTTCCCTCATCCACCAACAGAGCAAGGTGCATAGTGCAAAACAGGATTTGCAACTGTTTTTACCAAGTTATAAGCAGCAATTATTAATAAAATGTACCATTATATCAAGCATTCTAAGGCTGCAAACAAATAGCTAAAACTTTGACTTTAAATTCTGGGATTAATTAATGTTTGTGCTGATTTATATGCTAGACAAACAAACAAAGAAAGGACCAGCTTTGACTACACTAAGGACTTTGTGCAATATAAATGTTTGCGAACTTAATTTGAAAACATGAAACAAATGTTTTTTGGGGGAAAGGCTTCTTGACATGATGCCAACATTGTTGGTGAAGCCAGCTGCCAATAAAAAAGCTAAGACAGCAAAAGGCATGATTCAGATCTCACGTTGGTTTTATCAATGTAACTTCACCAAGTACAATGAAGTTACACTTGAGTAAATCAGGGATAAGAGAGTTCTGAGTCAGGCACAGAGAGTACAATTTTCAAAAGCACCTAATTGGGTGAGGCACATAAGTCCAATTTTTAAAGGTAACGTAGGCCCTTTGGAAATTTAATCCTGCTGACACTCTGCGCGCGTTTCCTACAGGTATGTCTACACTGCTGCTGGGAGTGTGAGTCCCAGATGTGCACGAGCCCAGCTCCAGCTAGCACATTAAAAATAGCAGTGTGGATGTTGTGACACAGGCAGACAATCGGGCTAGCCACCCAAGCTGGAACCCAGGATCTCAGGCAGGCTTGGACTCAAGTGGCTGTTTAGTGTATTTGCTGGAGCTGAACTAGTGCAAGCGTATGTCTCCCCATGCTGAGAATCGCACCTTCCATCTGCAGAATAGACATACCATTAGGAGACTGTCTACCCAGGCTGGCAATCACGCCTTCCAGCTGCATTGTAGACATAGCCTAAATCTCCAAAGGCTAGATTTTCAAAGGTATTTAAGAGTTTAAAGATGCAGATTCCTTCCTAGTGGGATTTTCAAAAGCACTTAAAGCAGGTTAGGCACCCAGCTCCCATTGCTTTCAATAGGATTTAGGTCCCTAGGTGCTTTTGAAAATCCTACTAGGTGCTATTTTCATCTTCAGGAAGTTGTCTGGCATACATTAATGCAGTATTGTTTGAAACAGGACCACATAAACACTCACTGAGGAACTTCTAGTGCTCACCAGCAGGGTCCACATGTGCCAGTTAGTACGCATCATGCTTGTGCACTAGAAGTTACATCCTTCTAGTGCGGACTCACACAACATGTATACAAGCCCTTAGATGCTTAAATCATGCAGGCATTTTTGAAAATTCTGTTCACACCCTAACTGATGTCACAGCCTTATCAGTCATATTTGCATATGGAAGAAGAATTGATATGTTCCTCATACTGTGCTCACTTATTGCAGGGGAAGCATTCACATGCTGGGGCTCCAGATCAGGAAGTGCAAAGCTGAGCTTTATGCTCCCTTTGCTCTGTTGATCTCTCGATTCACTCTGTGCACGCCTCATCAATAGCAAAGGATCTGGCCCTGGCTTCTGAACCCAAAGGAGCTTACTTAACATGTTTCATCTCTTGAGCTCAAGATATACTACAAACACTAAAAAGTTATGTTCGATCCGTGTGTTCCTCATGATCATCCTCATGTTACAGATGGGAAAATGGAGGCCCAAAGCAGTTAAGTCACTTTCCTAAAGTCACCGAAAGCGTCAATAGAAAAACTGGGAATTTAACCCAGCAGTCCTGACTCTCAGACGTGGAATGACTGGAACACACTGGGTCTATCTACACAGCAATTAAACACCTGTGGCTAGCCAGGATCTGCTGGCTCAGGCTCACAGGGTTTGGGCTGCAAGGCTGTAAAATTGCAGTGTAAATGTTTGGGCTCAGGCTGGAGCCCGAGCTCTGAGATCCTGCAAGCGGGAAGGGTCCCAAAGCCTGGGCTCCAGCCCAAGTCTGAATGTTTACATTGCTATTTTAGAGCCCAAGGCAGCTGGCGCAGGCCAGCTACAGGTGTTTAATTGTTATGTAGACATACCCACTATCTTTCTTGTCTCTCTCACCAACAGAAGTTGGTCCAATAAAATATATTACCTCACCCACCTTGTGCCTCTCATTCTTCTTATAGCAGCTGTGGATTTTTTTCTGTCTTTGAGAGCTGATAATTAATTATGTTGATATTCTTCAGGTCTAGGAAAGGTACCTGAAGTGTCACAGCTTAATGCAAGGTAGAACAGATTGTTTCGCATAAGTAAATAGCACATATTCTAAGAAGAACTGATGACATATTTTTAGTGAAATTTAAACTTCCTTATATTCAAAAGTTAAGAAAAATTCCATCTCATGCAAATTCATCACTTCTGAAAAGGGTTTAGATTATTTAGCAGGATCCTTTTCATAAGATTGTATAATCTACAGATGGATGTGGGTATGTATAGTTATCAGCACACCAGAAATGCAAAGCACTGGCTGTTTTAAAAGGGAGGTTCAGTTTGAGGTCTCAAAGCTGAGCATTGGTTTACTTAATTCCCATGAAAGCCCCACCCTGAAGGTCATTCAACACTCCAGCCCTTTTATTCCCTTCCTGATAAAACCACAGTATTATTTTAAGGCATTTCTCTTCAGAAAATTTTAATAGCACAATAGAGAAAAGGGCTCGATTTCTCCTTACACCACAATAATGAAGTGAGTTACAGTACTATGGTAGCTTAAGGGATGCTGTCAAGTAAACAGGCAATGTCAAAATTAATGTGAATACCAATTTGATCTATGCATCTGATTTGTAACAAGGACTGCTGTATCGATTGGAAAGGAATGGGTGTTGTAAGCGAATGTGTTCAAATATTAATTATTATCAATTTGTACTGCAGTTTCACCTGGGAGTCACAGTCTTGGATCAGGGCCCCATAGAATCATAGGACTGGAAGGGACCTCAAGAGATCATCTAGTCCAGTCCTCTACACTCATGGCAGGACTAAATATTATCTAGACCATCCCTGACAGGTGTTTGTCCAATGTGCTTTTAAAAATACCCAATGATGGAGATTCCACAACCTCCCTAGGCAATTTATTCCAGCGCTTAACCACTCTGACAATTAGGAAGTTTTTCCTAATGTCCAACCTAAACCTCCCTTGCTGCAATTTAAGCCCATTGCTTCTTGTCCTGTCCTCAGAGGTTAAGAAGAACATTTTTTCTCCCTCCTCCTTGTAACAATCTTTTATGTCCTTGAAAGCTGTTATCATGTCTCCTCTCAGTCTTCTCTTCTCCACACTAAACAAACCCAATTTTTTCAATCCTCCCTCACAGGTCATGTTATCTAGACCTTTAATCATTTTTGTTGCTCTTCTCTGGACTTTCTCCAATTTGTCCACATCTTTCCTGAAATGTGGTACCCAGAACTGGACACAATACTCCAGTTGAGGCCTAATCAGTGTGGAGTAGAGCGGAAGAATTACTTCTCATGTCTTGCTTACAATACTCCTGCTAATACATCCCAGAATGATGTTTCCCTTTTTTGAGACAGTGTTACACTAAAAGAAAAGGAGTACTTATGGCACCTTAGAGACTAACCAATTTATTTGAGCATGAGCTTTCGTGAGCTACAGCTCACTTCATCGGACGCATACCGTGGAAACTGCAGCAGACTTTATATACACACAGAGAATATGAAACAATACCTCCTCCCACCCCACTGTCCTGCTGGTAATAGCTTATCTAAAGTGATCATCAAGTTGGGCCATTTCCAGCACATTATTGACTCATATTTAGCTTGTGATCCACTATGACCCCCAAATCCCTTTCTACAGTACTCCTTCCTAGGAAGTCATTTCCCATTTTGTATGTGTGCAACTGATTTGATTGTTCCTTCCTACGTGGAGTACTTTGCATTTGTCCTAATTGAATTTCATCCTATTTACTTCAGACCATTTCTCCAGTTTGTCCAGATCATTTTGAATTTTAATCCTATCCTCCAAATCACTTGCAACCCCTCCCCAGTTGTCATCATCCTCAAATTTTATAAGTGTATTCTCTATGCCAGTGTTTCCCAAACTTGGGACGTCACTTGTTCAGGGAAAGCCCTGGCAAGCCCGCCGCCGGTTCGGCCGATCGCGGCTCCCACTGGCCGTGGTTCACCACTGCGGCCAATGGGGGCTGTGGGAAGTGGAGCAGGCTGAGGGATGTACCAGCCACCACTTCCCACAGCCCCCATTGGCCTGCAGCCGCAAACAGTGGCCAGTGGGAGTCACGAACAGCCGAACCTGCAGATACGGCAGGTAAACAAACCCGCCCAGCCCGCCAGGGGCTTTCCCTGAACAGGCGGCTTCCCAAGTTTGGGAAACACTGCTCTAT